GACCATGATGACTATGGCAAGAAGAGTGACCATGATGGCTACAAAAAAGGGTGGAAGAGGGATAGTGACTATGGAAAGGACCATGATGGTCATGGCAAGAAGAATGACTACGATAACTATGGCAAGAAGGACTATGAAGACCACTACAACGTCGGCTGGAACTGAGGTGCTTACGTACAGCTGACAAAGGGGAGAGTGTCAATGCTGGCGAGAAGAAAGCAATAATTGTCCGTTCTGAAAAGGAATGAGAATAGGATGCTGAATTTTGGAGACAAATGAAGGGGGAAAAGGAGGAAGAGTTCCGGGAGCACAACGGGAGAGTTGTATGGACGACTTAAACGACTAGCTAATGGGCGGGCTTTCGCTGGCAAAAGCTGCATTCCTTTTACTACGTACTTCCTCTGCTTGGACATCAACTCATATGGCCCTGGCCACAATGGCATTTTCCTCGACTTTCCCGGTTTCCAAACTATAAAGACCGCCCTATAGCTTAAGTAGGCTACTATAAGCTTAACAAAGGCCGCCCCATATATAGACGATCTTTAAGCAGAGCGATATTTCGAATATCTACCTTAAGCCCTACAGGTGAACCTCTGCTGTACCTAAGGATGACGAAAGGGCACCAGATATTCTACCGGCTGATAGCGACAGCGGGTAAGGGAGTTTTAGCTGTGATGGGCCGTGGATCTAGTTGTTGAAATGACTAGAACATCTAGCAATGGAAAAAACAACCAAGAGTCTATTAGCCGTGAATTGAAGTATGCGTGTTTTGCGCGATCATGGGAATGCCAATTAAGGTTCACTGCGTTGTAGGACGTTCCCTTGAACTCTGGTACCGCGCATCTTCCAACCACTGCCCAGGCTCAAAAAGGAGCAATGGAAAGCATTCCCAATGCTGTAAGACGTATAACTTTTTCCAGCGGCGGTATCTTTAGTTCGTTATCTCTGTTTCGGGAAAACGTACGCGTTTTATATTGTAACAGAGCACTTCAGGGTTCAGCGTGCACGTGCAAAAACGCACAGAGGTCTGTCCAGCAGATCGGGAATCGAGAACGCGTTTCTGGTTGGCACTAACAAGACAACACCACCACCAAAACCACCCAGAGGGGCAGCGGCTAAGGCTACGAACACCTAGCACAGCGGTAGCATCGAGGAACAGGACAGGATTGAGAAAACACTTAGAAATTAGGTAGACGGCACCAAAAAGCTATGAAATTCATGATACTCTGCTCAAACTATAAAGAATGGCACTCTGCCAGCACTATAATTTGTCTCGCACTCCCCCTGCCAGCCTATTTTGGTTTGACATGTGGCTAGATAACCTCTTTCTCCCCTGCTACCACTCTACCAGCTCTGTACAGCATAGCATAGCTACTTTGCCTTGTTACAATACTATTTTTAGTTCTCGGTGGAAAGTTCTTCTATATTCTTTAGAGGCTCTAATCTAGTAGCTAGCGAAGAGTCTATATACTTCCAGTGATTCAGGCTTTTAGCTTTAATCTTAATCACCTAGAGCTAATTTTCCTAGGTCTCTCCGCTAGTGAGTGTTATAGAGGTGAACTTAATTAGCGAGGTCTCGGAGTCTACGATGGTGGTTATAAGGAGTTACGGAGCGAGATAGATAGGTTGTAATATTAAGGAATGGAGCAATAGCAAGGTTAAGAGCGAGATAGATAGAATGATAGGTTTACAACGTGAACAGAATTACCGGCGCGATCTAGAACCGCACCGGGCTTATAACTGTTATACACAGAATGAGAGTGGATCTATCTGCTTGATTATATTCTGTCCCCCTGGCTATTTAAAGAGACTCTGCCTGTTTATATACACTTTGGCCTGCAACCGAAAGAGTATTCCTGAAACCTCCTATTCGGTCGGCATCCTATCACAGATCAGCGAGAACAACGGTGTTGAGGTAAGTGGCGCAGTTGGCGAAACGCCTAGCGTCTCAGGTGGTTTGCCACACAGTGGCTATCTCGAGACCCTGTCAACAGCTTTTGTTCTTGCAGTCGACATCAATGCGGCCGGAAATGAGCAAACAGCAGCTTCTTGTCCTTCAGGGACTTGTTACGCACTGACCGCCGATATCACGCTAGAATCATCCTGGCGAGAAATACTTTCGACGACCTTGGCAAAATTCTCCAATCGCTTGGATGTCGTGGTAAACTGTGCCGGCGTCGTGCACCACGCAGCTCCTGCACATGAGATCTCAGAGGAGACGTTCGATCGCATGTACAAGGTCAATGTCAAGCCCATTTTCTTGAGCACAAAGGTTGTTGTCGCATGGTGGAAGGAGAACAAGTTACCTGGGCACTATATCAATTTCAGCAGCGCAAGGGAGCCAAGACCTCGACCGAAGATGGTGTGGTATTCTGGATCCAAAGGCGCTGTTGCAGGCGTGAGTATCCTCTCGACTGGATAAACTTGGATAATATTGGGTTAATAGTCATACCTCGCCACAGACGACGAAAGGCCTTGCAGCAGAGTATGCATGCGACAAAATCAGGTTTAACTATATTCGGGTTTCTCTGGGAGAGACAGGAATGTGAGATTGAGGAAGAAGACACAATTGGCTTTGGACTGATGAGCAACAGGCTACTGGCCGCTGTTGCGGGCAACGACACCCCCGAGAACCGTAAAACCTATCTCGATACGATTCCTCTGGGACGTTTATGCCAGCCCACAGATATCGCGGACATGGTGTGCTTTCTCGCATCTGATGAAGCATGCTATATTACGGGAGCAGGCTTCGATGTCGACGGAGGTAGGTGTGTCAGTTAAAAGATTGGTCGTGAAGAAGCCCGAGTGATCTCGTGTCAAGGCTCGATCGCCACTATAAATCGCATTCCACAAGCCACAATATAGTAAAATCAAAAGATGTCTGCACTTAGTTGGATTCATCCATAGTGACGCCATTTATAGCCCTAGACTATAACTTTGCTCCTGTCCCTGGGTACATGCTCCAAAATATTTATGGCTCCGTGAATGAATGGTCTAATAAAGTGATGGTCGCTCATATTCGCTCTGCTATGAGGTCTCTAGAAGAGCCTCGTATGGCGTTTGCTTGTCCCTTGCAAAGATGCTATTTAGTTCAGACTCCGTGAAGCCAAAGGCATCAATAAATGAATTGACATGACCGTCGAAAGCGGCGATGCTATCCCTTACACGAGGGACTTACTACGTTTATTAGTGCTTCCACCGCAGGAGCATGATCTTTTGGCGCACTTTCTTGTACACATTGCGAATCACATCAAAACTCGTATCCTTGCCCGCGTGAACATCGTCGATCTGTTGTCTCGCCAAAAGGGCAACAGGATGCTCGAGAGAGTCATCTTGGATCTCAGAGTCACGAAGTGACTTAGTAGTGATTGCAATCAACCTCGTAACATCATTCTGCGGGCTCTTCAAGTGAACAAGGTACCAAAGGGCGGGGATGTCCTGCCCGGAATTCCTGCACAATCAGGAGTCCGAGATGCCGGATTCGTGAAGACTCACTGGCTCAATGCTTGACGACTTCATTTCCAATCTGCTCCTATTAGACGGGTGCGGGGTTTCCTTGGCTGCCGCTACACCTTTAAGTTTATCGAGGAGCGGATCAGGCGGTGCTATTATATAGAAGTGGTCAAAACTATTTACTTGTGAACCCTGAGCCCAGGTTTTGAGCCGACAGGCAATGATCTCACCGCAGGAGGTCGTAATATTCAAGTTGCCCACCCGAAACTATTCTCATCAATCGAAGTGCTCAAAATTCAAGGCCGTGGCTTTGATATTGCATCGCTGATCTCACATCGAAAATCGGTATACGCCTCAACTCGGTCTTACCCTCTTAATCCCCCTTATCCATAGTTTCTTGGGCTGCCCAGTACCTTTCCTAGTCACGAAAGAACCAATCAGGCGTGGGGCAGACCACAATGCGGTCTTCAAAACAATTCCAGTAAACCGGCGTCGCTTTCCCGCAGAGGTGGCTCAAGCTGTGGTGTTCTTGTGTAACGATAGGGCGAGCTTGATCGCTGGAGAACAGTGTTCTGTCTCAGCGGCGAAAGTATCTGCTTGTTAAAGAGAATAGGCCTTCTAGCTCAAAAGTGATGCCGTGTCCAGACATCTAGTAGTGGGCACTCTTTTGTCTATACCTTTGTCCATGTTTCGTAGGAAATGCGGAAAATGTCTACAGGCCAAAAAGGATGATGCCTTTCCATGAGCCATGGAAAGTGCGAACCAAGGGCGATTTTCCCATTGAGATCTGGGCGTAAACGATTGGACAGCGTATTGCTACTTGAGTACAAAAAGGCTGTATGAGAAGCAGTTGGATGGAGCAAAGCGAAATCAATGGGGCGAGCGTTCTCCCCTCGTCCCTATATAGTATTTATTCATTTATTCAAAGATCGCCTAGCTTTATCTTTAGTCTCCGGTTCCACAAACTACAGCAATCGATCCCCTCGAATTCTCTGATCAAGGCTATTCCAAAAAAAAAAAAAAAAAAAAAAA